TTTTAGCATTCCAATATCAATCCCTTGGTCTTGGGAGAAGTTCTACACTTGGGGATTTCATTGACCACCATAGCTTTGGAGTTGTGGTACTACTTTCTTATGTATTCTATTGTATTTCATCATTTCAATACTTGTAATTTTATTATGAATTGCTCTAGCTAATTTTCCATAGCCAAGGTTAGGGATGAAACTTTACGTACTCTAGGTGTTTGATGTATGTTCTCAACCAAATTATTATGATCTTTCCTTTATATTTTAAAGTGTATGACTATGGTGTACAACGTATGATTATATCGTTGGGTTTATTTGAGCAATTAACGTTGAGTTATAAACCGTGCACTTAAAGGTTAGACATACTCTAATTGTGGATAGAAATATATCTCAATTGAATATGGTGGTTTTAATAATGTCCTAATCTTCAATGGGGTTAATTTTAGATGAACGTGAACCGTGACGGGATTCACACGTAGAATTAATCACAATCTCGGTGCCGTAACAGGAGTTAGAATACTTTAGCGACATTCCACTCATAAGAATTGGTGAAAAAATATACATTAATCTATAGGAGATGTTTAGTAGTAATCCCGAACCCTTGGTTACTTTTATTATCACTTGAAAAAAAAAACTATTCTCAACTTTGAATCATATAAACAACGTTTCCTCGTGTTCGACTCGGTATTTTTACCGGATTTTATTACTACATTGGCACTTGTACGCCTGCAAGTTATAGCCGATCACTTGTAAACATGAAACTTGATTAAAAGTTGACGACCGACCTAATTTGAAATTTAAACAGGGAAAACTAACATTGATAAAAGTGAAAATAAACTATTAATATTGCTCTTTAGTTACTACAATGTAAACTTTGAATACAATTATATTCACTAATAGTTAATAAATAATATTTTTGTCAATATCTTATTACGGAGTATTATTAATATTAAAGGAAAACCTAAAAATGTACTTCAATACGTTTTTTAGTTTTTCAATATAATTTAGTTTATACTTTGTAAAACAGAAGTAGTAAGTGATAAGATTATTCAAAAGCGTGTGGGTATGTATTGTCCGATTTCGGTAAAAATGGTTCTTCGCGTGAGAAATGAAAACAACATGAAACAATGTGAATTTCTGGGGAAGCAGCCCTTATTAGGAGACGCTTACTGAGTATGAAGGTGCTTTCGGGCAAGGTAATAAACTTTCATAAATCCAAAGTCTTTTTCAGCTCTAATGTGGATCTAGAGTGCAGAGTGGGTTTAATTGAAACAATGGCACAAATATTATCTATAAGGTTTCAATAGGCAAATATATGACCATTTTAAAACATTACCAAAAAGTGACCCGCTTCAAGTCTTCAACGCATCTCCCATCCTCGCTCAAAACAGTACGCGACTTCAACGCATCTCCCAACAGTCTTCTCCAACGCATCTCCGGTCTTCATCAAATTGAACCAGCACCTCCACCAGCGAACTTATGCAGGTGAACCAGAACCTCCACCGGCAAACTTCTGCATATGAACTAACGCCTCCATCTTTGATTGGACTGAAGATTTAGCGCCTGGCTACGATTTTCATGAATTCGGCAAAGAGCTTCATCGTTCGATGACGACGAGCTCGGATTTGACGCCTCTCCGCCTCGTCGTCCTTCAGATCTGACACGCCGGCCAACAATCGGCCAGATACGGGGGAGGGCGGCTACTATTGTTCATTGGCCGATGGTTGGGATGGGTTGTGCTGTCAAAGGTGGGACTGAGAGGGGTGGATTTGGGCTGGTTAGGGTGGTCGAAGTTGGCGTGCTGCGGCGATTAGATGGCTGGAGGAGGTGGAGTTGGTCGGAGAAGAGGGTTATTGGGGCTGGGAGGGGCTAGGGCATTTAGGTCGGAGTTGGGCAGTGGTACGTGATTGGTGGTGGTCGGTGGCGATTTGGGTATGCTGGGTCACTGGCTGTGGCCCCTGTTCTAAAAATCGGCCTAGTCGGACCGATTATTCGGTCTAAGCGGCCTAGGCGGCCCTAACTGTAGAGGCCTAGTCGGTCAAAAATCGGCATAGTCGGCCAAAAAATCGGCCTAGTCGGTCGCCTAGGCGCTAGGCGCCCCCCAACCGCCCGACTAGCGCCTAGCGAGTTTTAGAACAATGACTGTGGCCGACCAGAGTTGTGGCAGTGACTGCGACAGGGAGGGGCAGTGGGGACGGTGCAAGCTGGAGCATGGGGCAGGTGGTCGCCGGGGGCTGTGGTCGGTGGGGCTAGGCGGTGGTCACTGGATAAAGCGGTGTGGCGGCGGTAATTGGGTGGTGCCAACAGCAGTGTCATTGTGGCCAACGGCGGCGGTGGCTACAGGAACACGGACGATGACTATAGTGACACGGGCGGCGGCTACAGTGACACGGGCGGCGGCTTCAGTGACACGGGCGGCGGCTACAGTGACACAGGTGGTGGCTACAGTGACACGGGTGGTGGGTACAGTGGCCTGGACGGTGACTATACTGACACGGGCGGTGGCTAGAGTGATATTACACTCACTATGGCAGTGTCACTGTGGCGGTGTAATTGGCGTGAAAAAATTTGACGATGACGACTCTTAGCTAAAAAACAAATACAGTGAAATAAAATTTTTGCAGTGACATCATGTTTTCTAATTCCACATATATGACCTTCTTGATCACTTTTTTGCCCCTTTTTAAAAATGGTCACTTTTTTGGTAATTGGTTCAAAATTCGTAATATTCAAGTAAAAACCCCTATAAAATCTTCAAAAAAATAATTTTATTCATTAAGGATATATTGAAATTCACATATAAGTTAATAATATTAAAACTAATATGGAGCTTAGTACTACTTTGCTTTTGTCCTTTATTTTTACGAGTCAACTTAACACAAATTTATTATACATTTAAATTCATTTTATGTTAAAACTGTTTTTTTTTAAATTATATATCTTATTTAACGAGATATATTAATGCAATTGGGTACTTGAACGAGACCTAATTAATGCAATATCTCTTCATTTCGATACTTTTCTGAAATTTGATTAATTTTCCTTGAACACTATAAAAGTTTGTTTTATGAGTAAATTCCTTAATTTGATCATCATTATTTTGTTTCTAAAGTAGGACTAATTCACATAATTGGGAAAGCTTTATACATTTAATATGAATAAATACGACCTATTTTGAGGATGAAACATAACTACTTCCTACATGTGCACTTGTCCATATTTTAGTCATATTTGAAGTAATTTCAGTTATACTGTTTTACTTTCTTTATGAAATTACCTTCAATTCGACTGGGAAGAGCATTTTCCCAACAAGCATAATTGTAGAGTTAAATAAATTAAATTTAAATTATATTGCTAAAGATCAAATCAGGCTCAAAAGTAATTGAAATTAATTTTACATTTGAGTGATACTACCGGGACATGCCCTTACACTAGTCCAAGGTAATTCTCGAGTACTTTTATTTTCCCCCATACGAGTACCGTAAAATACACCGTACAGCCGGCTGTACCGTGCGCACGGTACAGCCGGTCTTTTTTAGGACTTCTGCGCTTCTTCGATCTTCTTCCCTGCTTCTCGCCTGGCTTCTCCGATCTCCGTCCCTGCTTCGTCCTGCTTCTGCGGTGCTTGCGAAGAACTTCAAGCTCCAAGCAGGCAACTCCTTTGACAGCTCTCTTCTCCTCAAGCTCTCTTCTCCTCAAGCTCTCCTCTCGCCACTCTCTTCTCCTCTAGCAGAGCTACGCAAGAGACGGCGGCTCTAGGTGATTTCTTTGTTGGTCGGGAAGAAGTATGCAGGGAAGACAAATTGGAAGATGATTTAGGAGATTTGAGTTCATATTTCTTGATGACGAATCTGAAATGAGTTTATATTTAACTCAAATGAGTATAAGCTTAAAAAGAATGAACATACACAAATAAATATCGAGCATATTAAAAATGAGTTTTATGTAAAACTCAAATGAGTATACAACCGAAAATGAATGAGCATACACAAATGATCTTTTGAATTTTTTATACTCATTTTGTGATTTATGTATGCTCATTTGGTACCTCTTTATACTCGTTTCAAACGTATCATATTAATGTTAAACTCAAATGAGTATAAGGTCAAAATGAATGAGCATACACAAATGGACTTTTAAATCTTTTGATACTCATTTTGTAAGTTACATATGCTCATTTGGTGTTATTTTATGCTCATTTAAAAAGAACAGACTCAATGTTCATCACAATCGCATAATGAAAATCATTGGCGATACTTTTCAAGTTGATGCTCAATAAAAATGTCTTGATGTTCAATTAAAAGTACTTATGATTTTCATATCAATTCTCATTTTATAAGTTATGTATGCTCAACGGGTATTCATGTTATGCTCATTTGTAATATGACATAACAATGTATATTTCAAAAGTATCATATTGCATTAAATTCGCATACTGGAGTTCATAAGAGTTGATTATATATATAATTTAATAAGTTTTTATAAAGAAAAAAATAAGGAAAAGAAAGTAAATTCGAAGAGATGAAGCAGAGATCACGATGCTCAATGTTATGCTTCTAATGCTCAACAAAATATGTCACTTGCTCACTAGGCGTGGTTTAATACTCATTTAGTACGAGACGCGAATTTCATATAAATTACAAAAATGCCACCGGCTGTACGGTGAGCACCGTACAACCGGTGGTACTATATACTCTTCCATACGAGTACTCCTTCCGTCCCAGAATTATCTTCATATTTTCCTTTTTCGTTCGTCCCAAATTTATCTCCTCTTTTCCTTTTTGGCAAAAAATTTGTGGTTCACAACCATTCTTACACATTTCTTTCTCCTGTGCACAACTTTCCACCACACATTTTTCGCTATCTTAAATATATTTGTGAAGATAAATATGAGACGGAGGGAGTAGTTTTCTTTTTTTGAAGTTGTAAAAACTAAAAAGGGTGTGTACCATGTCACATGACTTTTCTCGAGCAAGAAAAGTTTGTTGGATAAATAAACATTTGTTGGGTTTGGAGAAAGAATCAAGAAAACAATGGGCTGAGAAGTGGCCCCCACCCCGGCCAGAGTATATACTTACTGCGCTCTTGCTCCGTTGCTCGTGCATTTCTTCACTCATGTATTCATTACACGCACATGCTCCCAGAGCCTTTGCCTTAAATTGCAAGTGTGAAGTGTGATCTTTTTTTGTTTTTGTTTAATTTAAAATTTGATGTTTCCTCTGCTCTATGCACCAGTTTTTGGCTTCAATCTCTCACTCTATATCTCTGTGTATCTTTCTTGATTCATCATTATCACTATGCTCGATTTTGGGTTTCCACTCGCACTCACCCCTTTCTCTGTCCGCTTCTTTCTTTCCTCATTGAACTTTTTTTTGATGCTTTAAATCACACTTTAGCTGGGAGTTAATTTTCAGAAAAACTGGATCCTCCTTCTCAAGTCTTCTCCTTCGTCCTCTTTCAAGCTTCATCTTATGTTAAGCTCGGGGAACTATTCTATGCTTTAGCTTAGTTAAGCTGGACACTTATATATCAAGAGTTTGTTGACAAGGGACCTCACAAATTGGCAATCCATCTTCAAAGTTCTGACTACTGAGCCACCACCTTTGTAGAGTTATCTACCATCATAAAATTTAATTACTCACATTTCACCCACCCTAAAGAAGTTCTTCAACTTGTTGACTAGGTTTCTGTACTACTACTAATTTTTTCTCACCCATATTTTTAAAAACAAGTGCCTTTTTTGCAGATTGATTATATGTGGATAGGTGAATACCTTTCACCCCCAATGGAATCCTGAAAGCAATGCCAGCCGCCCAGCACAGAAATGCTTTGCACTGCAAATGATTTATTGGGTTGGAAGGATTTTCCAAGTGGGCTTAGTGTTCTTCTCCTCGATGAAGATAGTGATTCTGCTGCTCAAATGAAAGCAAGACTTGAGGATATGAAGTATATAGGTAAAGCGCTAATTTTGTTTCTCTTTGTTTCTTCCTTGATCTTGGAGTTTCCTGTCCTTTCTAATGCTTCTTTTGGTTGGGGATTTTAGGGGGGAGTGGAAGGGAAGATTATTTATTCATTTATTCATTTGGTTGTTTTTTGCTATTATTTTGCAAAACTAACTTTTGCATCTATTAGACAGAATTTTAGTTAAATAATGTATTTCTACATAAACTTTCTTCTTCCCCTTTACTTTCCTACTGACCAAATACTACTAAATCACTAGTTAAAAATTTGTTTGCTAAACTATCCCAGTTTTTGAAGTCGATAAAACAGAAGGCAGAATGACTAACCTGGTTGGCTAACTTTGATTATAGTTTTCTCTAATTTTATGTACATTGATAATGTTGGCTTATTCGAAATCGTGAAGTTAGTTTTGATCGAGATCTGGGATGATATTTACTATTTGAGTTGAATGACATCTTTCTTTGTTGTTGCCTGCCCTTATGCCTTGTAATTTTGCAAGTAGGCTGTGTTATGGGTCACTCATTTGGATATCAATGGGATACCGGGCCAAGATAAAAGGCTCCAGACAAACTGATGACGAGATAGATCTGTACTATTGCTGTCATATGACTACTTACTACACATGTTAAGAAGCACTTAATCCATTTCAACATAATTCTAGAACTTTCAAGTGGTAAATATCTATTAAGACCTCAAAACCTAGATTATGTATGACAAAGACGTGTTCTGCATCCTTTTTGGTGAATGAATGAATTCTAATACCGTTGAGACCTTGGGTTATATTCTAAAAGGTCGAAATAAAATGAGCAATGCAAGACTTTATTTGGTGGGTTATATCTTTATATATGGCTAGCATATGATGGTTTAGACTAGAAGGCTACTCCTCTTACCAAGTTCATCTTTTAATATGAAAACCAAGTTACTTTAGTATCTTACAAAAGCTTGGTTGACCTGTGCTCCATATTAAAAAAATGATTGGACCCGATGAAGGTATCTGGTCGCCTGAGTGTATAAAGATTAAAGAGTGTGCCACATATGGCAAAACCAAACCTTAGAGTCAAAACATGTCTTGCTTAGGCGCTAGGCCATACTCTGCCACGTGATTAGGTTCCATCTTTGAATAGACCCATAACTGTACGTGTGTGACCATGCACTGTTTTCCTTGCATACATATTGATATCGATATGAATCATATTCTTCTCCTGCAGTTTCATGGTTTCAAAATGAGAATGAAGCTGTGTTAGCAATCACATGCAAATCAGTGGAATTTCATATTGCCATTGTGGAGGTAGTACTTTTCTTCTTCTTCTTCTTCTTACTAATACCATTTATTATTAGTATTATTATACCGAACTCCAATACTCTTCTTATAATTGCAAAATCAGAACCTTCATGATTTAGATTTTGACTTAAGGTAAAAATGTAATACGTTTTACATCTTTATCTTTTAATTTTGTTTTGAAGCTATCTTCAACTAGTGGGTAAATTAATGAAAACTGAAAAGTGCACTTCTGCGTTTTATTGTTCTTCCGCTCTATACTTATATGTTCCATAATTGATTTTTGCAGGTGAATATTAGCAACAGAGATGAGGTATACAGATTTCTTGAAATGGCTAAAGATTTGCCTACTATATGTAAGTTGTAAACATGATAGTTCCTTGCAGTTCAACTTCATTAAACATATTCTGTTTTAGAGAAATGCTATGGTGACATGCGAATATCACTTTGCCCTTTGAAAGTATCACTCTCAAAGAGTTACTTCATATGAGTAACAAACACTCACGCTTTGAAATTATCACTTTACCCTTATGTTGACGAAATTCATTACATGAAGGGTATTTTCACATAGGGGTGTAACTCATGAGATTTTAGTACATATTCTATGTAAAACTTTACCACTAGGGTTGTACATTTCTACAAGTGATGATCCATTTGATCTATACCAAGGGTATGTTTGGGTGAAGGAATTTGCGAGGGAAAGGGAAAAGTATTCTTATGAAAGCTTTTTTCTTATGATTTGCTTAACCTCTAAAAATGCAAAGGAAAATGAGATTTTGTTAATCATATATTTGATTTTTTAGTCACTATATGATATAAATTTTCTTCTCATTTTCTTCCCTATAGTTTTTTTCTTTCTAGTATTTTTTGAGTTAAAAAAAGATGCTTAATGAACTTTGTCTGAGTCTCTGCACTAGTCTTCCACGCTATAATGCCTTGTTTCTCATTCTTATTGCAGTGATATCGAATGTTCACTGCCTTAACACCATGATGAAGTGCATAGCGGTGAGAGATAATCATTGCTCAAATTCATTGCGATGTCTATAGTAGACATTCAAGTTGCTTATTTTCTTAGAATGCAATTCTTAAGTTATTTTGTTACTTTTATCTTTTATCTTTCGTATACTCTTTTATTTTTTTTCTTTTATCTTTCTTATGTTATTGTTATCTTATATTTATCTTTATTCATTTTATCGTACTTTTCCCTCCTCTTATCTTTCTTCTCTTTTTGGCTCTGATATCATGGATCGATTCTTGTTAGCCGACCCCAAAATCTTTTGGGAATAAGGCTTGGATGTTGTTGTTGTTGTTGTAATGCAAATCATAATAACTGCAGCTTGGTGCTGTTGAGTTTCTTCAGAAGCCGCTCTCAGATGACAAACTAAGAAACATTTGGCAGCACGTCATTCATAAGGTTTGTCAAATTGTGACGAAGTTTCACTTGATTCATGAATGTTCTATTGTTGGTTGAAGAGTGTGTCTTAAGCTTATTAAATGACGCCATTACTAGTTAATTGAAGTAAATTTGATTGTGTCCTAATCTTAGGTTTCCTTTTTCTTTCCGGATCAATTTTTCTTGAGTCGTGTTACTCGTGTAGAATTTGGATTTTTCATATTAATTAATTAATGAGGTTTTTCCTACAATATTACTTAAATAGAACTTATGGATAAAAATGTGACTAAAGTTACTTTATGCATAAGTTCATAGTCACTACAGTGTAAAATTGAACATAATTATAGTCACTAAAAATTACTAATATAGACACTTTATATAAGATATCACGTTGTTGCCCACCATCTCTATTTTGGTCATATATATGTCTTTATTTTTTAATTAAAAAATTGATACATATAGTCTAAACTCTAAACAAAACAGGCTTTCAATGGAGGCAGCAGTGGCGGGGAGAAAGACGTGTCTGAATCCCTAAAACCCATTAAAGAATCTTTAGTTTCAATGTTGCTGCAGATAGGGTGCTGCAATGAAAGTGAACAATCAAACACGTCAATGCAGGAAAACAAGTACCCAGCTCCTTCAACTCCCCAACTCAAACAAGGTGTGAGGAGATATAGTAAAGATGGGGAGCAAGATGGGGGAGAATATACTAAATTTGTCGAAACTACTTTTTGCGACTCGGTTTCCCAAACTACACCACCACCAGGAGATGGTGTCATTAAAAGGGAAAGGGAATCGAGCCCCGAACAGAATGGTAATTATAACCACCGTTCAGAGAGAAGCAAGGATGCTCGTGTCACCAGTAAAAAACAGCCTGGTTTCAATGGTTCATGTGAGGTGACAACAAAAGCTTATAAAAGGAAATTAAAGGTAAGATGGTTATTTTTTAGAATCTGGACTCTTTTTATCTATCTATTTGTCCTAGGGATGGCAGCGGCTACTCGTCCTGCCTGAATCGCAATGAGACGGATTTGGATAGACAGTAATCCCGTATGGGTTTGTTTGGTCTTAGTGTAATACACTAATACCTAAACCAGAACTCATATTAATATTTATTTTATATTAATATATTGTAAAATCATAGCTGGATATAAATGTACGAGTGTATTAGTACACATATTAGTTTAATAGTGTGTACATTCGTATATATTTATTAATTAATAACAAAAACGATGGATTGGATGGAATGATATAAGCTTCCCGAAATTAGCTTCCCACTGGCTTAAGAAAATAAATTTTCTGTGGTTGAGATTTATTTAGAAAGAAAAAATGTCAAGCACACTTCTTTTCATTAAAAGAAAATGACAAAATATTCCATTTTAGGCCATCCCAAAGTGTTGTCTCTTACCAAACGACCATATTTTGTGGTAAATAATCATCATCATTTTATGAATTTAAATACTCAATTACAGATTTCCACTTTTTAGTAATATTTGTGCCAAACCTGTATCCCAAACTTAATGGGAGGAAGGTAGTAACAGTGTTACTACACATGCGTATCTATATACTATGGTTTGGGTCAAATTTCAGTTTGTTATTTTTCTGAATTTGTAAACAGGGTTTGGTTCAAATTTGGGTACCCACTCATAGATAATGCTGAAGGGGTTGGGGATGGGTAAAGGTAGTATTATAAGGAGTCAGGTGGGAGCTCGTATTGTGGTGAATGGGTAGGTATCCGGCTCACTGCCATCCCCAGCAAACCATTGGTGAGTGGTGGACAGTACATATTGAAGTTGGCATATTTGCGGTAGTAAGTCTCACTCATCTGGTCTGTGTTTGCTTGGTTAGGTAGACTGGACACCCGAACTGCACAAGAAGTTTGTACAGGCGGTTGAACAACTCGGTGTAGATCAGGCCATCCCTTCCCGAATTCTGGAACTGATGAAAGTTGAAGGCTTGACGAGGCACAATGTAGCCAGCCATCTACAGGTAGGTACATATATGTATATAAGCAAGTGCAATGTACTTATATTATTATTATTATTATTATTATTATTATTATTATTATTATTATTATTATTATTATTATTATTATTATTATTAGAGTGATCAAGAACGGATTATTATGCTGTCCATCATCACTGCACGTAAGGATGGTTCTCAAGCGAGTGCTACTACCTCCCCCAACGAAAGAGCCATGTTTTTAATACTGGGACCAATATTACAAATGAGACTCTTTTTTTGGGGTGAATGAAGTACTAAAATACCTCATGTGCTGATAGTGGTGGGATCTAATACCGGAAAGTAGTGATTGAGAACAAAAAATGCTTCTATTTTGTAATTAAATGTGATGCGAGTTCTTTCGCCCTACCCATTAGCGGGACTAGTGGAGCAGTCATGATGTGGTGTAGCACCTATGTGAACCTAGGCCTCTTTTATTATATTAATTATTATTAATATTATAATATATTACTCCGTATTATTTTCAATTGATGTTTTTTGTTATTTTTAAATGAATTTTATAATTATAATGAAAATAGGTTATACATTTCGTAAATGTTTTGTTCTAAAATAGAGATGAACTTTCTAAATAAGACCAAACATAACACATTTTTCAAATACAATCACAATTGTTTTTCCTACAATATTACTCATTTGATCTGAAAAGAAGAAATATCAATTGCTTTATTCCTTTATTAGGACCTACTATGTACTGTTTCTAAAACAAATTTAGTTAGTCCTATTTATAAACTTGGTCTATGTTTGATTTCCCTCATAGGCAATTTCTTTTTAAAATAAAAAATCAACAGTAAATAATAAAACAAATAATAGAGAAAAAGGAATGAATAATTGGATTCTTTATTGAAATAATGACATGCTTATAACTTAAATAAAAATGGTGGATAAAAATGTGACCTCTTAATTAGTGACTATAGTAATAACCTTTAGTTACTATTTATATGATCAATTTTTACACATGTGATCATGATGTTACTTATGGTAACTTAAGTCATATTTTTGTCAACAAGCTTTATTTCAGTAACATTTTAGGAAACAAATCTTCTTTATTAGTTAAAATAGCTCTTAAACTTTCAAATGTTCTACATTTTTTTTTGTTAAGATTGCAAGATAAAAATAGAATGATGAATGATCAATGGTATTGACGTATCGTATAGGCAGGAGCTAAAAAGAAACAAGAACGGAAACCCAAGCAGTGTTCTTACTTACACAAACTCTTCGTTCATTTAGTTAATAAGAAGCATTGAACAGGAGCATGAAGGCAAACTGATAGCCGAACCCAATTTAACGCATGCATGGATGCATGCACATGTAGCAGCTATCCTCCACGCATGGGACTCGGCTCACCAACAGTAAAACTACTCCACTTCATATACCTTGACCATGCTATCCCACCTTACGTGGGAAGTTTGTTAGTAGTTTTCTTATCATACATGTGATATTATCTTGTATAGTAGTTTAGTTCCTTTGTAACACTCAGTTGTACTACTATTTAATGTTCAGTAATGAGAACAGAGAACACGGTGAATTATCATCTATGACCCTTTCTGTTCGCTAACCATGGCATCTCCCCCTTCTGAAAACTTCATCCACCCCTCTCTTGCCAAATCCAATTTCAAGAAATTCATTCGCGTTACTCTTGATATGGACAACATGCAGTATTCCTCATGTGCTGAACTGTTCAAAATAACGCCCGCGTGAAACGAACACAGGAAACTAAACTCTTAAGCAATCAAAATCAACAGAGAGTGTATAGATTCATCAAATTGGCCACTACAACTGTGATTAAAAAGAAAACAGAATGAACAGAAAAGACAAAGTTGAGATCTCTTCGAGAGGATCTCGCTCTCCAAAGTTCTAACAAACTTCTGGGTGCTTTCTCTTTCCTCCTTTTTGCTCTTTTATTCTCTTCCCACGCATACCCCAGTCCACCTCAGCCTATATGTTATTCTCATCCTCCACTCCCCTGATATGTTTCTTTACCTTATTACCCCTCCTTTCATAAACTCTAGTAAAATCCCTATTAGGATTAATAGACAGTAAGTTCTGGCTCGTATCACCGTTCTTATCAAGTTAGCAACCACATGTCCCAACCACCTTCTGATGATAGCTCCTTGGAGGACACCATCGTTAAGTCTATCACCCCTGAGCAACAACAAGCACAACACCTTATCAAAATCGAAGCTCAGGCGTTATGGCATCCAAGTTTGGATGTTGTTGTCTTACAATGGATCTATGACGCCATTTCCATGGATCTCTTTCACACAATCATCGAAGCGACTCCACTACCCTCAAGTGGCGGACGCAGGAATTCTTGATAGGAGCGGCGATAGTTTAAAAAGTACATACTAATATATATATATATATATATATATATATATATATATATATGAATAATTATACCTAGCAGAAAAAAATTGGGGGTGGGGGTGGCGGCCCCCACTTGCCCCCTCGAAGCATGGGATCGCAGGGCGCATGGAACAGCCGTGGGCAGCTCCTCCGTGTCTCTACCCTTCATGGCCTAATCAACTGTCTAATGTGTTCATCCACGGCCTGCATTCTTGGTCCCTGTCCGTCCTTGCCTGCTCAGTCTTATATGGCTGCCTCTTCACGTCCTAGTGATGTCAATTCTGCCATGCACACATTGACACTCACTCCTCCCAATTCTAGTTGGTACATGGACAATGGCGCTAGATCCCAATTCCCACATGACGTCGAACTCAGGTACTCTCTTGCCTTAATTTTTTTAAACATCAAACACATTATTCTTGTTAGCAATGGCCTTACAATTCCTGTTTCCAGTCTTGGCCAGGTTTCTCTACCACCACCACAACCTCCCATACTTCTCCATAATATCCTTTATGCCCCTAATATTACTAAAGAAGGAAAACTGTTAAATAAGATCCCGTACAACGTCAAAAAATTCAATTAGACCCTCGTACTTTAAAAATATGGGGTAATTTAAGTTTGCACCCCATATTATAGTCTAAATTAGACTTTGCACCCCGTTTTTAAAAATCATTGTTTTTGCACCCCAACTCCATATGAAAAGACAAAAAGGCCCTCAATCAGGAATATGTTGAAGGTCAAAAGAATTGTTAATGGAGGGGCATTTTTGTCTTTTCAAATGGGGTTGGGGTGCAAAAACAAAGATTTTTAAAAACGGGGTTTAAAGTCCAATTTAGACTATAATATGGGGTGCAAACTCAAATTACCCCTAAGAACATCCAATTAAACCCTCGAACTTTTAAAAAACACTCAATTGAGCGATTTAGCAGGTAACCAACCCGCTGCACGCGTGGTAGCTTACGTGGCAATTAGTTTTTTTTTCTCTTTCTCTTTCCTTTCTTCCTTCTTTCCCCGTTCTCTTCCATCTTTCTCTTCCTTCTGCGCATTTGGTTTGCTTGCAACTTCCTTCCTTGCTTCCTTGCTAAGCTTGCTAAGCTTGGCAATAATAGCACGCTGAGAGGAGGAAGCCGTGATGATAATGTCATCGACGAACAATGATAATTACGCCGTACGAGAGCCATTCCGGAAAATAAAGGAGTGATCGGAATTGTTGTGACGAAAGTCGACAGTAGCAAGAAAAGTGGGAAAGTGGTGATAGCAGCCCCTAGGGGCTTGCTCGCTCGCTTGCTTGCGTGTGTGCTTGCGGGCGGTTCCCCGCCCCTTTATGCTAACATTATTCGTTGTATGCGGTCTTTTAAACTTAAATACAGATCAAATGGCTATCTGAAACGGCTCAAAGCCTGACTTGTGGTCAACGGGCGGTTGCGATGAGACTTTTAGCTGGGTGGTCAAACTGGTGACCATCTGTACCATTCTCACTATGGCCCTTCATCATTCTTGGCCCTTGCATCAACTTGATGTCAAAATGCCTTCCTTCACTGTCATCTTGAAGAAACTCTTGAAGAAACAGTTTACATATACCGACACCTAGTTTTTGGGATCCAACAAAGCCTCACCATGTTTGCCGTTTGCCAAGTCTCTTTACGGACTCAAACAAGCCCCTAGGGCCTAGTATCACCGATTTCCCACTTTTCTTGCTACTGTTGACTTTCGTCACAACAATTCCAATCACTCCTTTATTTTCCGGAATGGCTCTCATACGGCGTACTTATCATTGTTCGTCGATGACTTTATCATCACAGCTTCCTCCTCTCAGCGTGCTATTATTGCCAAGCTTAGCTCTGAATTTGCAATGATGGATTTGGGTCCATTGAGCTATTTTCTTGACATTTCTGTTAAACAACACTCTGAAGGGTTATTTCTATCTCAACATGTCTATGCTTCTGACATCCTTACTTGCGCGGGTCTTAGTTCTTGTAATCCAGTCATCACCCCAATTGACACTAAAGTAAAGTTAAGTGCTCAAACGGGCCCCCCGTGGTCGACCCCACTATGTATCAAAGTCTTGTGGGGGTGGCCGGGGTGCTATAATACTTAACTTTCTCATGGACCGGTATCACTTGTGCTGTCCAACCGATATCTCTCTTCGTGCATGACCCATGAGAAGCACATCTTCATGCCTTAAATGAGAATTTTGTGTTACATTAAAGGTACACTTCAGCTTGGTCTCCATCTATGACCTTCCTCTATGTCGGGTCTTGTAGCCTATTCTGATGTTGATTGGGGTGGTTGTTTTGAACACCCGTCGATCCACAGTTTTTATTGGAGATAATTTATCTTTCTTGATTTTCTAAGCGGCAACCCACAGTATTCCGCTCTATTGTCTATTGCGTTTTTTTACCCCAGAGGATATGAGGGAAGCGGTTGGCGGAAGCTTGGGGTAAGCAGGGCTGAAACTCCCTCCATGCAGTTTCGAACCCGAGACCTTCCGTATGAGAAAGTGAGCCGGCGACCAGCTGAACTGAACCGTTTTTTCATCGTCTACTGCGATAATATTAGTATGGTTTACATGTTTGGTTTTCCTGTTCAACACCAATGAACCAAACATATCAAGATGGATATTCACTTTGTTAGTGAAAAGGTTGCTCGCGGTCTCATTTGTGTTCTTCATGTTCAATCTCGCCACCAATCTATTGATATTTTTAACAAAGGTCTATCATCATCATTCATCATCATTACCCCAATGCCGCAAAGGCTCCCACCTATAGTGGGGTAGGGGGGGTCAGATGTACGCAGTCTTACCCCTCTATTAAAGCATAGAGACATCTACAGTTTCTGGATGACCCAATTTTTAACAAAGGTCTATCTACAGTTTTATTCACTAATTTGTGCGACAGTCTAAACGTTCGCTCGTGTTAGGCAAACCCAATTTACCGGAGGCCTACACGTAGCGGCTATCCTATACTCATGGGACTCTCGGCTCACCAACAGGAGACCTACTCGGCTTCATATACCTTGACCATGCTATTCCACTTTACGTGGGAAGTTTGTTAATACAAGTGGATAATACTTCATTTATCATACACGTGATATTATCTTGTATAGTAGTTTAGTTCCTTTGTAACACTCAGTTGTACTACTATTTAATGTTCAGTAATGAGAACAGAGAACGCACGGTAAATTTATCATGTATCTTAAATTTTATAAGAACTAGACTAGAAACACAAGCAAAGCTTTCCTGATGTGTTTATGTGCTTTTTATCTTCAAAACAGAAGTACAGAATGCATCGCCGGCATATATTGCCAAAAGAAGATGAGAGGAGATGGCTTCTCTCAAGAGATACTACACAAAGGACTTACTATCCTCATAAGCAACCCATAATGGCCTTCCCACAGTATCATTCTACTAACGCCCTTCCTGCCAGGCAATTCTACTCTGCCTGGGGCTGTTATCCTGGTGTCCATGTGTGGGGCTCACCTTGCCACTACCCCGGGTGGCAACAGAGAGAGGATTGGGACTGGAAGACTAATGCGGGGGTGGGTAATACTATTCTAATCTCCTTGAGAGAGTCGTAGTTGTTTATTCATATCAAGAGAAATGTGTAAATACACCCTTAAAGTATATGTGCAGGTACAAATACACTCATAAAGTTCTAAAAGATGCAAGAATAACCCTAATATTCCTATAAAGGAGCAAGTTAGCGCTTATTGACTTTAAACAAACAAAATAAATTTGAAAAACACCAAAAGTAAAATATCTATTGAATTTGGAAACTGAAAAATATATAGGTTATTCTATTTTAAGAAAAATAAGTTTTTTATTTTAAGCATTTCAATTTTTTGAACCTAATATATTTTGATCTTTTGGTGTTTTTTTCATCATCATCACCCCAATGCTACCCCCACCTACGGTGGGGTGGGGGGTCGGATGTACGCAGCCTTAACCCTCTTTAGCACAAAGACTGTTTCCGGATGACCCATGGTAAAAATCGCGCCGAAAATGGCATGAATTGACTGTTGCTTCATAACAAAGAAATACAACCAGTTTAGTGAGTCATTTTGTTTTATTCCATCATATTCCCAAGTCACTTTATTTATTTAAAATCACCGAGGGCTAATTTGCTCCTTGATAGGAACATTAGGTATTTTTGCACCTTTTAGAAGTTCAAGGACATATATGCACCCCTTCATATACTTTAAGGGTGTATTTGCACATTTTCCCCTTTATATTAACGATTAGTTCATCCTATATTTGACAAATATATATATATATATATATATATATATATATATATATATATATAGCTACTGTTCCAATCCTCTTTTTTGGAATCCGGAATCCAAGTCTTCATAATCCTTCCAATAGACTCATAATATTGACTAACTCTTGAGAACTTATTTCAAGGTTTATGCTCATGCATGGGGCTGCCCTATTATTCCACCACCTCATGGATCATATGCAACACTTTCTCAGGTGAAGAATTGTCCTATAATTTTAATAAGTAACTCTTGTTTGGTTGGGAGTTTAGGAGAGGGGTGTAGGGGATACAGTTGAAATTTGTCCCAAGCCGGTCAGATATAAAATATTAAAGCAGGCTATTCCCCGCATAAAGTTAACCTTTTGGTAGTGTGAAATCCCAAAACTTAATATCTTATATTATTATTATTATTATTATTATTATTATTTTTTTTTTTTTTTTTTTTACTCCAGAGGGCGTCTGGGGGACTGGGGTAAACTGGGTTGAAACTCACTCCATTGAGTTTCGAACCCGAGACCTCCCATAAGGGAGAGTGAGTCGGCGACCAGCTGAGCTGGACCGCTTCCTCCCATATCTTATATTATTATAAGATCATGGGATACTTTTGTTACAAAGTTAACCTTTTAGTAGTATAGAACTGCAAGTATTAATAGATATGTATTTGTATTAATATATTCTTTTTATGTTTTTCAATTAGATTGGCTATGGAAAAAGTGATGATGAGGAATCATATAAAATTACACGCATAGTTAATTTATAGTCATAAGATTACCAAACAGAGATAAATTAGAAAAGCAAGAACAATTCATTCCCTTCCCTCACCTTGAAAACCTCCAACCAAAACAAGGCCATAGTACTAACGTTATATAGTTGTATGGAGCAAGTAATGTCACATTGTCACCCTAAGCAAACGGGATGATTTGGATCATGGTACCATGATATGTGTCAAAATGTGCAGAATGCATTGGGGGGACGATGCATGAGCGGTGGAACGCCAGAGGGATACGGCATGCCAGAGAAGAAGACATTTGATATCCAGCCGGTAAGCTTGTTGTGTAAGTCTGCTATCTGATGTATCTGTGGGGCTAATAAGTGTGGAGTTGTCCTTACATAAACAAATACTCCGTTCTTTTTTAAATGCAACATTGGATTTTTCAACTATTCACATGTTCTAACTCTATTTTATTTATTAATGTATTATAAACTAAGTTAAAAAAAATTGTTAAATTCTTCTCATTTTAAAATTTCAAAATCTATTTTTTTATAATTTTTTTACTAATAAGGAATGAAAGATATCAATGGTCAAACTTGTGTGTTGGCAAACATGAAAAGTGGTCCGTTGATATTAATTATGCGGTTTATGGATTCAAATGATGAATAGAACCCGTGACCAACTGGCCGGAGCAAACCGGTACCTTAGCCCAATATATTTGGATTCACACATTTATATAATATATATATATATATATGTATATATATATATATATACAATCTTGCAGGCAGAAGAAGTGATTGACAATGTTGTGAAGGAGGCATTAGACAATCCGTGGATGCCCCTCCCTCTGGGGCTAAAGCCTCCTTCAACCGACAGTGTTCTAAATGAGCTATCCAAACAAGGTATCTCAACCATCCCTCCTCCGGTCAACGGCTCACATATGCGCTGATATGGCCCTCTCGTGCCTGAATGCGGCACTCAATCACGGATCCAAGGAAGATCCACCTTCACACGCGCGGCAAAGGAAGGTGGGTCTGGTCCAACTTTGAGCGTACTGATGTTAATAAAACCTCTCCTGGGCAATTTGAAGAAACTATTCTTATTCATACCATGCTGCTCTTCCTTTGGGGTGGTCACTCGTGGTTGTAACTTGTATAAGCGGTAGGCCATGCAATAATAATAATCATAAATAATGCATCTGTTGACCTTTTGGCACATGCCTCATGAATAAATGAATAATTTATGGGCTTTCAAGTTCAATTTTCGCCTTTTTGTGTACACCACTAAAATCGTAATACTTTCTTAGCAGCAATTGCAATTGGAACAAAATCAATACTTCAACGTCATCACCGTCAATAATTCTTATTGCAAAAGTGCAATAAGTAATGCTAAAAGACATTCTCTAATGGGAGTAGGGGTGGACTCGGGTCGGGTGGCCCGACCCGGAACCGGCCTGAACCGGCACTGTTCCGGCCAGGCCCAGTGGTCCGGTCAGTGACCGGTTCGGGTAGGCCCGACCCGCTGGGGTTCCGGTCCGGGTTCGGGCCCCTCAAAACGTGAACCGGCCCGGCCGGTTCGCGCCCGGTCCGGGCCATTTTATTATTATTTTTCTGTTTTTTTTTTTTGATTTTGTTTTAAGTTTTTGGGTTGGACTGGGTATTTTGGGTCATTTGAGATGGTTTGGGGGTGGGGAGGGGGGTTAATTAGGAAAAGGCAAAAAAAAAATTGAACCGCGGGCTGGCCCGGCCCGACCAGGACCGGTTCCGGGCCTCCCCTTTCCTGAACCGAGGCCCGGCCGGGCCCGAACCGGCCCGAGTCCACCCCTAAATGGGAGTAAGGCTATTTTCAAATGGATTGAATTTTTCTGGTATGAATTGAGGTAAATTTAGGGGTGGATTCGGCCCGGGTCCGGGTCGGGCCTAGGCCCGGGCGGGCCGGCGGTTCAGAATTGCTGGACCCGGGACCGGCTTAGGTAGCCACCGGGTCCGGCCCGGGCCTCCGGTTTGGTTTTTTATTTATTTTTATCTTTTATTGCTTTCCTAACCCTCCCCTCACCCCCCAAACCCCCAAACCCCTCCTAACCATCAAGTCCAACCCGGGTGGAACCCCAAAAAATGAAAAAAAAAATCAATTTGGCCCGGACCCGGGCCCGACCCGGTCGGGCCGGTTCGCCAAATGTAAGACCCAAGCCCAGACCCGCCCCCCGGGCCTAGGCTTGACCCGGATCCAGACCCGAGAACCGGGCCGGTCCCGCACAGTAGCTGGCCGGGCCGGTCCACGGGCCGGGTGGCCCGACCCGAATCCACCCCTAGGTAAATTGTACCGTACAACCGGTTGTACGGTTCTCACCGTACAACCAGGTATTTTTGCAATTATTTACAACTCCGGTGGTAAAGATTAGGGATGGAGAAGGCCTTATGACCTCTGTTCGCTGCTAGCTGATGTCCTGCGAATCGAGTCAATCCATGGAGGAGGGCAGGAGGCGTCGACAATTTGTATTGTTCGCTTGGTGAATTGCTGGAGGCTGGCAAATGAGGTGCCGTTGGGTGGATTCCTGGGATTGGTGAATGTGGTGATATTTTAATATTGTGTGTTAACATTTTCAATTTGAGATTTAATCACGTTAGAAAAGCTGATGGCGTTAGAAAATTCTCATTGTATGCTCATTAAAATCGTGCTCGTTGTGCAGCTATTTTGATCACGCTAGAAAATTCAAATGAGTAATACACTAATAAAAATTTGAGCAAACTATAGATTTAAATGAGCTTTTTGAATTTTTAGTTTCTCATTTCATAACTTATGTATGCTCATTTGATATTGGTGTAATGCTCATTTTGAAATGTCATATTCATGCATATTTAAACAGTATAATATTGCATTAGATTCATATATTTGATTCATACAGATTTATTGTAGGTATTTTAAAAAATAAGAAAAATAGAATGAATTAAAGATATGAAACAGAGATTGAGATGCTCAAAAAAACAAGTCTCATGCTCATTAAAAATACATTAATGCTCATTAAGCAGATGTCACAAATTTCATTTAAATTACTAAATGTCACCATTTTTTAGTTGTGATACCAGTTTTCTTGTAATAACACGGTGCTCATTATTAGACGTTTAATGCTCATTAAAATTGTACTATTGCTCATTAACAGTAAACTAATGCGCATTTAGCGGAAGACGATTTTTCACTTAATTGCAAAATTGCCACCGAAAAAATTTGGCCTGTATTGATTGTTGGGCTGTTGGGCTGCCTCCCTTAGTTGGGCCGGGTGTACGTACACCCGGTGGTATGATATACGCCATCATGAATTGATCTGGTTCAGGACTGAAAAGAGTCCTAAGTAAAAAAACATCCCAAGTAACTATGCCTAGTTTATGTATAGCAAAAAACAAAATAAAGAAGCTACACACTCAACAAAAGTTGAGTGGCTCACAAATTATATATGGGGCGTGAACATATATTTCATATACGTCGAGTATACGAATAATACCACACAAGCATACTATGAAGGTTTATTGTATATAAACTATGGTTATTTTTTAATTCATGTAATTTTAAAAAAGTTCATAAACTTTTAAATTTATAGACTTTTTAGGGAATTAATTCCATTAATTTATATAAATCTCTATTTCATATGTAAGTTTCATATCAAGTTTTATGGGAAATAGTAGTTTAAACAAAAAACATGTTAACTACTAGCTCTGTTAATAGTTAATATTTATTAGGAATCATTCTGTATCTTGGAAACCTATTATTTTATTATAAATACATCCCTCAGGACCCTCATTAGGGTAACATGTGCTAATTATTCACATGGTATCAAGAGACTAAAAACCTAAAAACAAAAAACAAATCGCTGCTCGCAATGTCGGATGCCGCAACATCCAGTGTCGATCCCCCAGTCTCCGCTGCAGGTCAGCCGACCAGCACCGCCGCGATCGATGTCCACCTCTCATCACCTTTGTCGGTCAGCGCAGCCCTATCTACCGTGCCGAGTTCTCTTCCATCACCGGCTTCTCCTCCAGCGGTGTCTTCTCCAGCATGTCACAGCCGACCTTTCCCAGCGTTCTTGGTTATTTGCTACTCTAACCCGTGATGTCTTAGTTGACGTACATGATCTTAAACACTCTTTTGGGATATGGGAAAGATTCCAAACTCGATTCATGTATGCTAGTTTACCTTTTTTTAAACCCGAAAGGCAAACCACCAAAATCATTGGGGTAAATGCCGGGGAACATTTACCGAGTTTTATTAATTTTAAAAAATTATACAAAAAGAGGGGGGGACCAGACCAATACCCCTCATTGGAGGCATACCTCCAAAAAATACATGACAAAATTAAATTAAACTAGACTTTGGGGGGGCTATACCTGACCCAAAGTCGAAAAAATTAAACATTACAAGTTTACAACGAAACAAAGGAATATTAAATAAATCTAAGTAGTAAGCACTTCTGACCAGAGGAGGAAGCGAAAGAGGAGTAGAAAAAGTAGTGAACTGGGCCACTTGCAAACTAGCTAAATAATGAGCAGGCCAGTTGCCTTCCCTCAGAACAAGCCCAAGAGAAATGTTGGCCCGTTTTGCCATGTCCCAAATCTGATCTATAATCGCTGTCCAAATACACCGCCGCTTGCCTAAAATAAACTCGAACACCTCAGAAGCATCAATTTCAACCTGAAATCCAACATAACCTTCTAGCAGTGAAAGCCGCCCAAAGCTCAGCTTCCACACTCGATTCAGCCGTTACTGGAAACTGAAGGCCAAAGACGAACTCACCTTGCTCATTTCTCATCATCGCTCCACCCGAGACCCTTGGAGGTAAGAACCCTGCATCAATATTCAACTTTAACCTACCTTTCGGTTTCATCCAACAAACCTGTCTGAATATCCTATTAGAAAGTTCAAAGGATTAGGGGATCATCTTCTCAGAATATAGAACTTCTTCAACCGCAAATAATTTCATATCAGAAAGACTAAGAACCCAAGCTTGAGTGTAAAGTTTGATCTGCCATATAATCAGGTCCATACTAGGAATAGATTTATTAGAACTCCAAGTAATACCAGTATAAATCTTCCATAGATGCCAACATATGATGCCTGGCATAATATGTTAGTTTACCTCGTTGCATGGAATTAAAGCGCCAATTAAATAATCTTTAAAAGAGGGAAAATCAGTTTATGGACCATTATCTCCGGGATATTAAAAATTTAGTTGATGCTCTTGGTGCGGTTAATTCCCCGGTTTCGGCCAAAGAGTTACTTGAGTCTGTTATTGGTAGATTGGGTCCAAAATATGAATCATTAGTAGGAACTGTTATGCTATTTCTTGATCAATTTCCCTTTGAGATATTGCAACATCGTCTTATGGAGGCCGAACAATGGGTATTGTTTAATCGCCAACAAGCTTCGTCCCGCATCCATCAAGCCTTTGGGGCCGTCGGCCAGCAGCCACCGCAACAGCCCTGTGCTCCACGAGGTCGGGGTGGCCGCGGCAGAGGAAGAGGTGGCCGTGGACGCCATAATTATGGCCAACAGTTCAGCCAACAGTACTACGGGCCGCAGCACAACGCTGGTCAGCCGCAGCAGTTCGGATCCGCCCCGCCGGTCCAGCCCGGTCAGCAGCAGTTCGGGCAGCCGGTCCAGCCCGGTCCGTCACATGGCATACCTGCATCCTCTTCGGGCACTACAAGTTCTGCTACTCTGCTAGTATATCTGTTTTGTCCACTTTAAATGTTAATCCCTATTGTATTTATGGTACTAACTCTAGCACTGCAGGCTTTCCATCCTCTGAGGGTATTCTTGGTTCTGTCCCACCACCTGTAGTTTGTCAGATATGTTTCTCCATAGGTCACTCTGCTATGCACTGTCCGTCTCGATTTAATCAAAACTCTGTACCTGCTCTGATGACCTCAAATAGTGATGCTACTACTGATCAAATAGTGTCTGCTCACATGACACCATCAGAAGGTATTTTAGTTAATAAATTTCCTTATACCAGATCTCATGATAATAAATTTCCTTATCCCTAAAAAAAGTTAATAAATTTCCTTATACCGGATCTCATGATATTAGTGTTGCTAATGGTTCTCAATTACCTATAGCTAATATTGGTGATATTACATTACCTTCTTCTAGCCGTCCACTTCTTCTAAAATCTGTTTATCATGTGCCTCAACTAAAATTTAATTTATTATTTATTCAGAAACTTTGTGCTGATAACAACTGTGTTGTAATTTTTGATAAAAATTCCTTTTTTGTTAAGGACAAACTTTCGGGGGCGGTCCTACTTCGAGCACCCAGTGAAGGCCATCTTTATCCTG